CTTCTTCCAGTAAGGAATACAATACCTAAGTTTGCATAGTTATACATATATGACATTGACAATGAAATAGGGAATATAATGAGTTGTCTAGGGTAAGTTTCTTACATGTACGTCTTTGCTTTCTTTTGATTCATAATAAGAATTGTAAATATTTAATATATATAAAAAATTATGATATTTTTTGTAGGACCTGTGACATATTTGAAAATTTAGATCCGAAAATAATTTCTTCATTGCAAAAAATGATGGATGACAATAACATCATCGCAAAGTCATTTCACTGTGCAAGAGATCATTACAAAGAAGAAAATTTTAATGGACTGAAAATCAGGCTAATTCGGAAGAGGAATAAAGATGGCGAAACTTATAATCTTCTAACTGCATCAGAAATTGCTGCTTTGGTTGTTGGAGACATTGGCGGTTCTAATTACACCTTCCCTATAAAGTTTGAATGCAGGCAATTTCCATTGGTCGTTTGCTTTGCCATGACAATAAAAAATAGTCAAGGTCAGACTTTATCTCATGTAGGAATTTATCTTCTAAGACCAATTTTTACTTATGGCCAATTGTATGTTGCCTCTCTCTAGGGTCAAAAGTAAGAAAGGATTAAATCTTTTCATACTTGACGATCATCGCACAGTTGCCAATACTACAACAACCACTGTGTTCAAAGAAATTTTTCAAAGGTTGAAATAAGTTAATTTGTCTTATTTGTTGAACTATTTTGCATTAATTTACAGAGTTTGCTATTTCTCTATAATACGTAATGTATATGTAATTTTACAATTTATTTAATTCTATTTTATACTTTTTACTTACCACCATTTTGTACAAAGGCACAGGTCATAGACTAGTTACTAATGAAAATGGATGCCACATTTTATGATTTATAAATTCTAGTTGCAGCTTAGCAAAGTCATGGGGAATAATGTTCATTCAATCATCATTTAGTATTCATGTTATATCTGTGATAAATTAGTTTTTCTTGGTACATGACATAAATTGTTTGTCATCATCAAAAAAAGGGAAATTGTTGGATATTAGTTATACCCCAATTGTTTAATTAATTTAAATTATATTAATTTAAACTATGTTTTGATAATTACCAATAATTTAATGTTGATTTAATTGATAATAATTATTATCTTGAAATTACTAATGAACTGATTGGTTAAGATTTCATAATAATATTTATTCTGATATAAAATAGTATTCAAGATAATTGAAGATTATATGAAGATTGGAGAATATATGAAAGATATCACGAAGAGAGAGAAAAACATAGAATCTAGTAAAGTTTAGGATAAATTTTATCTTTTTAAATTTCATATAAGAGAAATAAAATATTATTTCCCAAAGATTTAGATTAGAATTGCATTGCATAATAGAATAAGATATTTAAGTTTTACATAATTTTTATTTGAAAAAATCAGAAATTTTATTTTTGAAAATTGCATTTAAAATTTCATTTAAGGGTAAAAGATTTCTGGTTAGTTTTTGTAAAAGATTTCAAATTTATATCTTTTGGGCTTTTAGGAGAGAGAAAGTGTTATTATTATAAATAAGGCTCATTGCATATTATTCATTAGTGGAGACAATACAAGAGAGAAAAGAGAGGAGAAAATACAAGAGAGAGAATTAGATTTTCAAGATTAGAATTCTTTCTTGTGCATCAATTAAAGAGTTATCTCAAGAACAATCATTCATACATTCATCTTTTGGCAAAGTGAATATTTCTCCATAGGAATTCAGATTACCTATTTGCTTGAGTAAAAGAAGAACTGAGGTAAATCACTTTAATTGCAAAATTCTTGTTGACCGCTTTGAAAGTCTGTACTGAAAAACTTGGATACCAATTACTGTGCTAGGAAATTGAGATACCTGCATGTCTCTTTTCTTTAGAAATTGAGAGTAACTTGAGAACCCTTATGTGATAGGGTTTCAAAATCCTAAAAGGTTAGGATTTCGTACTGAGAAACTAGGATACCAGGTGAAAATTTGTGTACGGGGTAGACTAGGAAACTAGGCTACTAAAAAACTCTTTGTACGCAAGTTTCATAATGGAGTTGCCCGTCAAATTTCAGTATTCGATATTAAGGCCCGTGATTTTTTTTCTCCCTTTTGGGTTTTCCATGTAAAAAGTACATGTCTCTACCCTTATCTTGATTTATTGCTTTGAGTTAATTTCTAATTAACAAATTAATTTTATAAAACTCAATTCACCCGTCTCTCGAGTTCATCTGGGAGCAACACTTACTTGATAGCATAATTCTTCATATAAGTCTATTAAGCATAATTATTCGTTTGAGTTATGTAATCAAGTAAATCGGCCCGAAGTCCAACACGTCTCACTTCTTATCATTTTTTTTTGGAAATATTAACCCTAGTTACCTCTTTGAGGTGAGTTGATTTCTCGGGCATCCCCACAAGCTTCAATTCTTTGGGCTGGTTATGAGGCTAATTTTGAGTCGGGACTTAGTCACATTTAAAGCTCTTCACCCCTCCCCAATGGTGTATTTAGTTGGAATCAAACATAGGTTTTCTCCCCACTTACTCATCTTGTGCCGCCAATTGAACAATACTCATTGGTTCATCCTATCATTTCAATACAATATATATTCCCTAATATTTTAGCATTAGCCTAATTAGCATGTCAATGTTCACATAGACCTTCAAGCAAGTTATTTAGAATTGTTGACTAATAATTGTTAGAAATCGACAATCACACAAATCGCAAACGAAAAGAGAAAGAGAGAGGAGAGGAGAGGAGAGGAGAATAGACGCAGTGATTTACCATGATTCACCCAATTTAGGCTACGTCCAGCTTGTCTATACTATATTCATCTCACCGTCACTCGTTACAAGTCACTCGATTTACAAGGAGAATATAAATAGGATTAGAAAAAATTCTAACAACAACTATTCATGGCCCAAGCCCAAGCTACTAAGAAAAGAAAAATTTACAATAAATCAGAGACACACAACAATATCTTGCTTCTATGGGCTCGGGGGCATTGCCTCTTGGATCCCCACCCGCTGACCTGGGAACGGGATTCCAGTTGCCTTTTTGCTGACCCCGACCACAAGAGTCATCACCAATATGCGAAATATGAGCCATATCCAACAATAATTAGCACCCATATGAATGATCATGTTAGGATTCTTAGGCAATGCTGCTAAAGGTAGATGTTGTCTCACTAAATATGTGATTGTAGTTCTTAATTCTTAGCGCAAGTTGTTTATAAGGTGCTTGTTCCACTTAAAAACCATATATGTATGGAATTATTGTTTGTTATGTCACTTGATTGTCCACTCATGAGTAAACTATGTCATTTTATTTATTTATTTTCTTATATTAATTGATTCATCTTTGTATGGTTATGATTCTCTTTTTTTTTCCTTATCACCATGAATCCACTTTTATATTATTATGATTTAGTGACTGGACAAAAGCTTATATCCATTGACTTGATATCATATGAACCATGTGTGTGTGTTTTTATAGTTTTATTAATTTTAAATAAGTTCTTATAATTTAAAAAATTGAGAATACGTCTTTACATTTTTACGTTTTTTAAACAAATTTGTTTACTGGTACTTTGTTAATTACTGCTAAATCATAAACATCGATTTGAAAACTTAAATAAATTATAAAGAATTGTGTTATATGTCAAATAACTTTTTAAATTTTTGTAGGCAGTAGTATGGGCCTAGGTGGAAGAAAGCCCAAGGAAAGAAGAGTTATTGAAAGATCCAATCAGGATTATGTGACTAATTAGAACCAGGCCTAGGTTATAGGGCTTTCAATTGCCATTTATAATTTTCATCATTATTTCCTGAAGTCCTGAAAGACCTGAACTATGTTAAATACTAAATGGGTAATATTACTCTCATGTAACATGAGAGTAGTTCTCTCATGTTACAAAGAGAATCTAAGTAGGGCCCGCTATTTAAAAGCAGAAAAGAAAAAGAAAAAAGAAGGGGCACGATTTTCGAAGTGAGAGAAAATGAGATAACTACCTCATGTGAAATGAGAGTAGTATTTCCCATACTAAATAGGCCTATTTTTCTGTTTAATGAATATCATACAAAATCCAAAAAATCCCTCTCTTTGCTTCTGATGTCTCCTACTCTCCCTCTACTGCTCCTCCAGTGCTTCTTCCCTCTTCTCTAATTTCTGCGCGAGAGACATTATTCATGCACTCGTCTACGTTTCTTGTTTAAAGAGCAATTTTACACACCATTCTTGATAAAGATCATGACATAACTAAATTAAAAGAGAAGCTATTACGAGTCTCACATTGGTTGTCTATACAACTAATGTGGGGTTTAATAAGGTGGCACTCCCACCCTTTGAGTTAGCTTTTGGGGTGGTGATCTCAAGGTCCGTAACAATTGATGCTTTCATTGAGAGTTGAGGCTACGGCAAAAAGCTACCTACAGACTGGATTAAGGTATCATACCTCCCAAATGGGTGTTGTAATGAATACTGATAGATGAGTGAAGCCGCCAAAAGGGAAAGAGCTATCACCGGGTCAGTGTCGATAGAGTGAAAGCCGCTGTGTACGTCGGCCCTTAAAGGGGGTGACAATGTTACGAGTCCCACATTGGTTGCCTATACAACTAATGTGGGGTTTAATAAGGTCTTGGGCACTCCCACCCTTTGAGTTAGCTTTTGGGATGGTGATCTCAAGGTCCGTAACAATTGATGCTTTCATTGAGAGTTGAGGCTACGGAAAAAGGCTACCTGCAGACTGGATTAAGGTATCATACCTCCCAAAGGGGTGTTGTACTGAATACTGATAGATGAGTGAAGCCGCCAAAAGGGAAAGAGCTATCACCGGGTCAGTGTCGATAGAGTGAAAGCCGCTGTGGACGTCGGCCCTTAAAGGGGGTGACAATGTTACGAGTCCCACATTGGTTGCCTATACAACTAATGTGGGGTTTAATAAGGTCTTGGACACTCCCATCCTTATAGCTAACTTTTGGGGTGGTGATCTAATGATCTCGATGAAAATCAAAACTACAAGCATTTGTGGATAGAATGTGAAAATTGTTATGGATTAAATTATCAGAAATTGTTTCAATCCAAAATGAATATTTGTGAGCACTGTGGATATCATTTGAAAATGAACAGTTTAGATAGAATAGAACTTTCGATTTATCAGGGTACTTGGAATCCTATGTATGAAGACATGGTCTCTCTAGATCCCATTGAATTTCATTCAGAAGAAGAACCTTATAAAGATCGTATTGATTCTTATCAAAGAAAAACAGAATTAGCTGAGGCTGTTCAAACAGGTACAGGTCAACTAAACGGTATTTCTGTAGCAGTGGAGATTATGGATTTTCAATTTATGGGAGGTAGTATGGGATCCGTAGTAGGTGAGAAAATAACTCATTTGATCGAATATGCTACCAATGACCTTTTACCTCTTATTCTAGTATGTGCGTCCGGAGGAGCACGTATGCAAGAAGGAAGTTTGAGTTTGATGCAAATGGCTAACCCACCCTAAGGAAGTTTGAGTTTGATGCAAATGGCTAACCCACCCTTTGAGCTAGCTTTTGGGGGATAGTGATCTCAAGGTCCGTAACAGAAGCACACACATCATAAAGAAATAAATAGCTTTTTTTATTAATGATATATATATATATATATATATATATATATATATATATATATATATATATATATATATATATATATATAGTTCTTGAGTTTACTTCCAGATCTAAATTGCTGAAGTAAAATGATATACATGAAGAAGTAAGGTGCTTGACACATCATTTGTATTAAATTATTAGTTAATAAAAATCTTTTTGATCAGTAGTAAATAATATTTGATTTTTTTAGCTAAATTATTATTATATAGTTAAAAACTCACATGAACTGAAATAGAAAACATCAAACATTTGGCTTATTTTTCTTTGAAAAAGTTATATTTACAACTTATTTTCGTTTATAACCTCTTACAACCATATCTTAACCGTTGATTTTCGCCAATCAACGATTATCATTTATTGTGAATTAATAATTAATTAATAAATTTTATTTGCGAATATCTTAACCGTTGATTGACGGAAATCAACGGTTAAGATACGGTTGTAAACGAAAATATGTTGTAAGTATAACCTTCCCAATTTTTCTTTGTTAATTTAATGAAAAAATATTTATATTTTTGCTACAGAAAAAATTTCACACTCACATTAATGTAAGAGGGTGTTTGGTACAAGGATTGTTTATTTCCAGGAAAGTCATACATTCAAATGTTTAAGTGTTCAGAAATATGGCGTGTTGGAGTGTCATGTCCCTGTTATGATGCATTGACATTTCAAAAACATTTCAAAAAAATTGGCGTGTCATGTCCGATACTTCCTGACACTTTTCGACACTCTAACATGCGTTGCAGAGACTCAAAAAAGATTTTAAAAGTTGCGTTGCGTTGCGTTTGAGTTTCGAATACTAGATTCGTTGGATTATAATTACCATTTTATTGAGTTTAATGTAACTATTTTTGATATCTTATGCTTCTTTGCAAAATTGATGGGTATTATAAGTTTAGCTTTATTTTTTTTGTTAAATTATTGAATATTAAATATAATATACACTGCATAAATTAAAAATATTAATTAATATCAAGACATGACCTAATGTGCCAAAATCTAATATTTTTTAGAATTAACGTGTCAGAGAATCATGTCGTATCATATCGTATCCCGAGTCGATATCGGTGCCACATAAGGTACTTGGATTAAAAAAATTTCTCGGTAAAATTGGATTCCCGGTATTCTTTTTTATGAAGAAAAATGCTACCTCATAATATCACAGAATGTGTGGTATTTTGCAAATTCCAGCTGATGGAAAAATGAAACACGATTTATATGACTAAATTAACCCTGCCCTTGTCTTTTCATATATCTTTGATTTTTCTCTCATCGATTTTGGCCTTTTCTTCTCCAAGACTATCTCGTTGACAAACCCTTGGTTTACCATGTTTTTAGGCTAATTTATACAAGAATTACACAGTGCATTGCATGGAAATTAAGGTTTTACATTATAAAATCATAAAGATTGGATTTCTAGCTAACATGTTGTAATCTTGCTTATTTTGAAGGTATTTTGACATAAAAGAATGCTTAATGGAGCAAAGGAATGAAAGGAGATGTTTGAATACCAAAGGAAGTCCAAAGAAAGCAAGCTACAAGCAATTCATGGGCTGTTGATGGAGAGCGCTTTAGCGCTCAACAGCGAGCTAAAGCGCACTAATAAAGCAAAACAGCCAAAATCCACTGGCAGAGCACGTTTTAACGCGCTACAAAGCGCTGGCAACAACAAAACTTACTCTTGAAGAGCGTGCTTTAGCGCGCTACTGAGCGCTAAAGCGCTCTCAGGCAAACGAATTTAACCTATGAAGAGCGCCTAAGCGCTCTGGTGAGCTCTAAAGCTCACTGACACGTCAAAGCTCAGGCCCAATTGTTATCAATATCCAATTTAAGATTTGAATGAAGATTTGAAGAAGATTTGAATGGAAATAAAAAGATATGTTTATTCTCTATAAATAAAGGGCTTTGAGACAAAGAGCAGGGGCGTTTTGAATTGGAGAGTAGAGAATCCTATTGTGGAGCAGTGGAACGCTGAAGATTCAAGACGACATCACACCAATGGAGTCTTGGGGATTTGTTTTCTTTCCAATTATTTTTGAATTCAATATGCTAGGCTAAATTTTTATGTAGTTAGAGAAAGATGAAACCTAATTGAATCTTTGTGTTATGAATTAAATTGTCTCTGAATTCTTCTCTTTTTATATTTGAATGAATTTATATGTTGTTAATGCTTTCTATGAGTTTGCTCCTTATAGATTGATCTAGGGGAATTGTATGACAATAGAGATGTTGGTGCATGAACCCTGATTTGATAAATTTGTCATAATCTTTGTGATCTAGGGATAGACATAAGGCAATTGTGCAATCTTTGAATTCTTGATTTTAATGCATGTTTTCTTGGGGAACAACCGGGGAACTAGGATTCTTCCAAGATCACATAGAATTAGGATAACAAGGAATTGAACCTTAATTAACTTAGAAAGAATTGATTGACATTATATTAAGAGCAGATTCTATACTATTTAATTCATAACATAAAGAGGAAATTGGGGGAATTCGAAACCCTAACTACGCTCGTTCTTGATAATTAAACAACTCATTTTTTAATTGTTTTTAATTTTGAATTTACGTGTTATTGATTGTTTTTAATTTCAATTCTCTCCATCTCAATCTTGGTTGTCCAACTAAATCGCGATTAGTGAACTAGTGCTTGAAAACCAATCCTCGTGGGAACGATCTCGTATTCCGGTACACTTTATTACTTAACGAACGTTGCACTTGCCGAGTCGCAACACTCGTACCTGCACATCACCATGCAACGCTTGCTTCAACAGCCATGACATCGCTTGAATACCCTCTCAATAGCTCAAACCACAACCAGATGAGGGCTCAAAATGGAAGAGTGTGGGGGTAACGGGAATGAGACCAATGAGGTTGTTACTGGAGAGGTCGAGGGTTCAGAGAGAGGACTAGTTTAAAGGAGGGATGGTTTCGTTAAATGTGTTTCAACTTAAACGGAGATAGTAACGACAATTTAGCTTGATGAAGCCAATGGGGATGGGTCCAGAGATTGTTGTGAGAGAAATCCAAGGTTCGAATCCTGTGAAAGGAGAAAAGTGAAGGAGGAAGAGAATCGTGAAATGGTTGTTGTCAAGGAAGAGACTTTTGAGATTGAAGAGACCAAAGAGGTCAATTATGGGTCCAGTTAAGGAGTTGTTCTGCAAACTAAGGACCCTGGCCTGAGTTGGTTAAGACGAGACTGTATTTTTATTTTGATTAAATATCATTTTGGGACCTCAACAAAAAATACGGAACCCATTTTATTCCATTAGAAAAACAAAGTCAACTTGTGGTCCTTCTGAAATTACACTTCTTTGAAATTGTGGTCTCTCAGAAATTCAAAGAAGACTCGTATTAATCCCTCAAAAAGAACTAATACATATACTTTTTTTATAAGGGATTAAAATGAGTTTCGTGTTTTTTGTTGAGGACCTAAAAGGGTATTTACGTTTTTATTTTTTTTATTTGTGAGGTTAGTTTCGTAAAATGAATCTACATTCACAGCAATATTTGACAATCAACCAAACATAGAATTAGGAAACTTGACCCAACATTTCAGGTAATATTTTGGTCTACCAAATAGTTTTTTTGTAATATTCTCGAAAAATTCAGTTTTCCACCATATTCGTGAGAATCATGATTTCCGGAAACAAAAAATTTCTCTTCTACCAACTGTCCCATAAAGAGAAAAGACACGGTTAAAAAAAAAATTAATAAAATCCACTCACTTGTATATATATATGACAGATAAATTTTTTCAATAATAAAAGGAGAAATATCAAACCTTTAATTTATATATATTATAGGAAACATATGTAGTTAATATCTTTACCAGTAAGATAGTTACTTAAAATAACTTTATTTGTACTTGATTTATTTAGAATTTATTAAATATTGATAAAAAAAATGTTCCAAAGAAACAAGCAGCGATGTAGTGCCACGTGTCATGCCATGTAACATATTTATCTGCAGATAAGCGTTGGACGAGTGGCCTGAAAGTTCCAAAACTGAAAGAGTGAACAATGGCCAACATTTCAATTCCACTCCCACGAATCGGTTTGTCCATACGCAAGTGCTCAACGAAACGCCCATGTTTCACCAGTTCAGCTTCAACACTCAGAATTTCTTGCTCTGGTCTGGTCTGGTCTTTCTTTCTCTTATGTTGTTATATGATTTTTGTTATTACTTTGCTTCCAACCTTTCAATGTGTTATGTAAAATCCAATGAAGACCCTTTCCCCCCTTAATCTTCGTCTGAAAGTTAGATAGTAAAATTTCTTTTGTTAGCAAAAATATTAGAGTTAACAATGTTTTCTAGGGTGTATTGTAGGAGCAGCTGGGTTAGATGGATCTGAGAATAAAGTAGGGTTATTTAATTTCAATGGAATCAAGGGCGTGGTCTGTGGTATTCTTGCAGCTTGCACTGTTGCTTCTGCTGCACTTCCCGTTACTGCTGCTGGCCAGGTTCAAGCTGAGCTTAAATATTAATAGTTATAACTAAACTATCATTCTCTGCATTGCATTGCATTGCATTTCATTTGCTATGAATCTTATTTTTCCTACATATTTTGTTCTAAGAAAGTCAAAAATTTCATATAATCATATTCTGAAGATATCAACTGAGGTTAGAATAGATCAAACGGTTTCTTTCTCAATTTATGTTTTGATTCTTTTCATGCTAACATGATATTGACATATCTATTGTTACAGCTGATAGGGTGAATTTTTCCTTGGTTACCAACTTACCAGTGTATAGAGTGGTTTTTGAAAACATACGATATAATGGTTAACATTTAGTTATAAGCAACAACTAAGTTTTTATTACATCATTCAAGTTTTGACATGTTAGTAAACTTGAGGTAAACCACTACTTTGGAGTGTGGTTCCCTCTATGTATGAATTAGGAAGCTTATTACAAGTTTGGTTGAAAATTAGTCTGTGTTCAGAAATATTTCTTTCAGTATTTGGTTCTTATAGTCATTTGGATAAGTCCTAAGAGCCTAATGCTAAAATTGATGTCCTTCATAGCTTTGCAGAATTGACCTTCCTTGGTCAAGCTCAAGGCCTGTTTTCCTATAAGTAGTGCATATTTCATATTATATCTTCTGATAAAATGTTCAAATTGCTTAGTTTCAGTGATGTATCATGTCAGTAATAAATGTTTAAAAAGTTTGAATTTGTGAAAGACAAATGTGATTTACATGTCTCCTCGAAAGATGCAAATGAGGAGAGAATACAACACCCAATATGTTTTCTTTGCAGAGGCTGCCCCCATTATCAACTGAGCCCAATCGCTGTGAGCGTGCATTTATTGGCAACACAATTGGTCAGGCAAATGGTGTATATGACAAACCATTGGATCTCCGGCTCTGTGATTTCACAAATGAAAAAACCAACCTTAAGGGGAAGTCCCTTTCTGCAGCACTCATGTCAGATGCTAAGTTTGATGGTGCTGACATGTCAGAAGTTGTAATGTCAAAGGCTTATGCTGTTGGTGGCAGCTTTAAAGGTAACATTCTTTTTATTATTTTTGAGAGACACTACTAAGCTTCAGTGGTGAAATATATTAAATAATAATAAACCATATTATAAATTATAAACTACTTCTCGTTAAACCCCGACTAGTGAGAGTGGGGTGATTGGTACATTAAAAAAAAAAAATCACTCTCTTGACTAGTGACGGTGGGATAATGGTGAAAGATATCATGACCAGAAAATTATGTCTGGAAGTATTCATTTTCCACAAAACTGGATTATTTGCTTGATTAAGAGTGGGTGAGATGGTATAATATGTAATTGTAACAGTGAATCAGTGAGGTAATAGTATGAATTCGAGTTCAACAATGGAATCGTTATAAATCTCAAGAAACTCTAAGAATCAAGGGGAGTTGAATGGCATGAGGTCTCTATGTGAGGCTGAGACTAGTGTGTAGAAGATAATTCCTCAACGAAGGAGTGAGGTATTTATAAAGGAGAATGAGCCTAACCATTTTAGGCCTGTGGACTTACTATGGTGTGAGGCAGTATACCCCACCTGTGTGAGGGTCGTGTGCATGAGAGAGGAGATGAAATGTGGTGAGAGAATATTTATCTGTTTAGAGGTGTTGTTTGCCTCGATATTGAGCCTAATTTGACAGGTCCAGAACATAGAGATTCATTATTGAAAGTGTTTCAGCCACAAACTTTAATGGCGTGCTTGTGGGATGTTTTATGGAATAGAATTCCAAAAGTATATGTCAACATACAAGTTATGATTCATACTTTTTGCCATATAGAAAAGACAATGACCCAAGGATCTGTTACAGGTGTGGATTTCTCAAATGCAGTTTTGGACCGTGTTAACTTTGGGAAAGCTGATCTTCAAGGAGCTGTATTTAAGAACACAGTATTGTCGGGCTCCACCTTTGATGAAGCTAAGCTGGAAGATGCAGTTTTCGAGGACACAATCATTGGTTACGTTGATCTCCAGAAGCTATGCACAAATAAGACCATCGGTGATGAATGGAGAACTGAACTAGGATGTCGATGATAAGCAAAGTCTTCTCTTTCTTGTAAAGCTGTCATGCCATGACATGACAGGTATTTTGGTGAGGTTAGCTAGTAGATGAGTCCTACATCCAAAAGTTAATTGAATTCTTTGCTTTCCCTGTACAATGTTGCATTCTTCCATTTGATTTCAACGCACAAATTGAAGACATTGGTACAATTAATTACTTGTATTTGTTGTTTTAACGTCTAGTTGATTCTTTCCATGGCCGTTAACTTATCAATTTTCTCCAGGAACTTGGAAGCGAAATCAATGAACTTTATTTTCTACTTTTGCTAACAATAAATTCAAATATTGGAATTATGGAAGCATTCTTTCAAAATTAAAAGCGCATCTGGTGTAGTGGTATTATGGTGCACTCCCACGTTACTTACCGGGATTCGATTCCCCGGATGCGCATTATTGTTAAACGTATGGCTCTTAGCAATTCTTTTATCATTCCATATATATATAGGCACAGTGATTTATGACGTGACCTGCATATAAGTATTGGTTAGTCATATAAAAATTATGCCGTTTTGGGTGTGATAAATCGAAGTTCCTGTTTAAAATTAATTATAGAAAATAAAAATATTATATTTATTTTCATTTTTGTATGATTATAATTTTTTATAGTTTTATGTGACTGCACCAATCATTTGGTGCAGTCACTTTACATCCGCTAAACCTGTTACGAACCTTAAGATCATCACCTCAAAAGTTAGTTTAAAGGGTGGGAGTGCCCAAAGCCTTATAAACCTCACATTAGTCGTATAGGCAACTAATGTGGGACTTGTAATATTGCCACTTCCTTTAAGGGCCAACGTCCACAGCGGCGGCTTTCACTCTATCGACACTGACTCAATGGTAGCCCTTTTTCCCCTTTGGGAAAATATTTAATATGCTCCAGGATCACCCAATGATTTGGTGCTCCCTCTCACAACATTAATTTTTTCTTTTCCTTTTTACCCTGTTATTTTTTTTCTTTTCCAATTTTACCCTTCTATTTACACTAAGGGACCACCTAAAAAATGGTGGTCCCGGACCACAATAAATTCTCTCCCCCTTTGGGGTGGCTTCACTCACCTATCAGTATTCAGTGTCTAAAGACACCAATCCTTTGGTGCAATCATTTTACATTGCCGAAAGACACCTTTATCCAGCCTATAGGTAGCCCTTTTCGTGGCTCCAACTCTTCATGAAAGCACCAATTGTTACGAACTTTAAGATCACCACCCCAAAAATTAGCTCAAAGGGTGGGAGTGCCCATGGCCTTATAAACCTCACATTAGTTGTATAGGCAACCAATTTAGGACTCGTAACATTAATTGTTACGGACATTGAGATCACCACCCCAAAAGCTAGCTCAAAGGGTGAGAGTGCCCAAGGCCTTATAAATCCCACATTAGCTTCCTATACAATCAATGTGGGACTCGTAACATTGCTATCCCTTTTAAGGGGTAGCCCTTTCTCCCCTTTGGGGCGGCTTCAATCACCTATCAGTATTCAGTGCCCAAAGACACCTTAATCCAGCCTATAGGTGGCCCTTTTTGTGGTCTCAACTCTTAATGAAAGCACCAATTGTTACGGACCTTTAAATCACCACTCCAAAAGCTAGCTCAAAGGGTGGGAGTGCCCAAGACCTTATAAACCCCATATTAGCTTCCTATACAACCAATGTGAGACTCGTAACAAAACCTATATATATATATATATATATATATATATATATATATATATATATATATATATATATTATGGGAAATATATGATTATTTGAAAATAATAAGGTATCAGTAATTTAAAATTTTTGTTATTGACAAGTTTATTGATATTATATATAATTTTTTTTCTTAGTATTTATAAACTGAGGTCATGATAAAATTGGTAAGAATGATGGGACATTTACAATAAAATAAGTTAATGATGAAAATTTTTGGTAATTCATCCAAGCATCTAAGATTTATCATTTATGTGAAATGTGTTTGAAATGGATCACAAGTTCACATATACTTGCCATTGGTCGAGTAGTGTACGTTAAGATGCGTATATAAAATGTGTAGGGAGTGGATCCTCTCATGTGAAAAAGTGGTAATGTGATCATGTCATTTAATCACTACCACTCATTTAAAAATTATACATTTTTCTCTCTCTTATCTCATTATCAATGAATAATTGTGATCAAATAATATGACTACATGACCACTTTTTTCACATACTCCCAAATGTGGGGAGTAAGGGTTAGACGCTTTAACTGAACATAAACACTTGCTTAGTGAATTAAATACAATTTTTTTGGTAAACAAATTAAATACATTTTAAAAAAAAGTCAACATTAAATTATTAAAATCATATTTTAAATATTCAATTTTGAATTTCTTGATAAAATTATATAAATATGTGATTTCTTCTCCTATTCCTAAAAATGAATTTTTCCAATGATCAAAATTGGCAGGTCAACCAAGAAACATACTGGTTTTTCCCGAAGCTTCAACTTCTCAGCAATTTTTCTCTTCCGATCGTCCAAGGTGTTGCTACTTTGTATCTGTATTCGTTTGGCCGAACCTTCAAACGCTCATCCTGCAGCACATGGATATATTCTACATTGTAATCTACAATTACGAACACTGAACTCATGTAAAAAAAGATGAATGGATATGAAATTTGGAAGAGTTTGAATGATTTTGGAGAGAATGAGGGGAATGATGTATGTGAGTGAGCTAGGAAGAAGGGAAAAAAATAAGAGGTGCTAGTAAGAATGGTTAAGTAGAGGGGTATTTATAAGAAGGCGGGTGCACGAGGATAGAATGAATTTGGAAGCTGATCCGGGATGCAACCCAATATGCAATAGTGGAGGATCAACTGTATAGAAAGGGGTTGCATATCCCTATGCTGAAATGCTTGAACTCGGAAGGAGCATAATATGTTCTGACCGAGATACACGAAGAAATTAATGGCCAACATATGGGGGGTAAAGCTTTGGCTAGAAAGGCCCTCCGAGCTGGCTATTACTGGCCAACTATGGAAGCTGATTCTAAAGAACATGTTAAAAGATGCGACAGTTGTCAAAAACATGCCAGACTAATTCTTTCACCTCTAGAAGAGTTGAGATATATCTCGGCTCCATGGCCCTTTTCCAAATGGGGAATGAATTTGCTGGGACCCTTCAAAGCTGCTGAAGGACAGTTGAAGTGGCTAATAGTGGCTGTAGATTACTTCATGAAATGGATTGAAACAGAACTGGTTACCACAATAACCTCGGCCAGGGTACAAAGATTCTTTGAAAGGAATATTGTTTCCAGGTTTGGAATACCAGTTGAGGTGGTGACAAATAATGGAACTCAGTTTGGTGATAAAAAGTTCCAAGAGTTGATGAAAGACTTGAATGTCAAGCATCGCTTCGCATCTGTGGAACACCCCCAGTCAAATGGGCAGGCTGAAGCAGCAAACAAGGTACTTGTTGCTAGGCTCAAGAAACGAATGATGGATGTCAAAGAAAGCTGGGTTCATCAGTTATACTTTGTTCTGTGGGGATACGGAACAAGTACCCAAACAGCAACAGGGGAACCCCTTTCAGATTGACCTATGGATGCGAGGCTATGATCCTGGTGGAAATAGGGGAACCATCTTGGAGGAGAATTAATGCTATCCATCGAAATGAAGAAGAAAATAGTAAACTGCTGACTACCGAGTTAGATCTCGTTGACGAAGCCAGGGTCACGGCTCACTACCAGGATATGATGACCAAACAACTGGTAGCAGCTAGATACAACAAAAAAGTGAGACCAAGGGTCTTTGAGAAAAATGACTTGGTACTCAGAAGGGCAGACATCAGTAACAAGAATTCCATGGACGGAAAGCTAGCAGCAAACTGGGAAGACCTTTACCGAGTTAAAGAAAAACTTGGGAGAGGAGCCTATGTCCTGGAAACCACGGAAGGCAAAGGAATCAAGAGAACCTGGAACGCAGATAAACTGAAAATATATTACAGTTAAATTCGAGATCCACCTTCTGAATGTTTGAAGTAATTTCAAATTATTTGAAGTATTTATTAGGCGAATTATTTTCCTTTTTAGGGAGTTGGTTAAAGCCGAATATGCTGGCAAATTCATGTAATCGACAAACTTGATATCAACAAATGAGGAATTTTTCTTTTTAAGATTTATCCTTATCCAATTCTGATGCATCAATACGAATTCTGAGGTGCAAGTGTAATTTGTCATGTTGACTCTGATCAAGTCGAAATGCTCCTTACTTAGGTCAAAAGACCTAAGGGGACATGTGACAATAATGCTTTTACCTTGGATAAAGCCGGGTTACAAAACCCAGATTATGATGAAAAGGTTAAGTCAACTTAGACAATCACCGTCATCAATGCTGGCTTAACGAAATGGTTAAGTCAAAATAAACATGCGTCATAGAGAATGACAAAAAGTAGAATTCGTATGAAATGCTTTGACCTTGGCCAGGTCAATATACCGGCACTCGTAAAATGTACGAGTTGCAAAAATAAGAATATATTCGAGTTGTAAAAATAACCCATCTCGGATGGGGAGCAACACGAGAGAGGTTTAAAAACTTAGAAAATTATCTACGTTATAAACCTAGATAATAGATAGGCAGAATCTGTGTATCAAATTAAGAAAACGCTAAGTCCTTAGAAGTATTTAATGAATACTTCAGGCAACTCAGGAAGCAAGAGAATCTTGAATACTTAGGCAAATGCGTCTAAGTTATTAAACGGGGTATGAAATGCAAAATAAAAAGGCAAAGCATGAAGGCATAATACAAAGGAAGAATTCCAAAGATGTCAAGAAAATAAATCAGTAACCGACAATATTCATTACAAATTATAAAGGGGCTTAAGAGCCCCAATCAACCAAGAATTACAAATTCAACCGGCATCTCGGCCCTTCATTCAGCAGGAGTTTCTTGTTCCATTTGAATGTCACTAGGGGTGTTAACGGGTCGAGCCGAGCCAAGCTTTGATCTTAACGAGCCAAGCCTGTATTTAAACGTGTCAAATTGGCCTTAGCTTATTACCTGTTACGAATATAATATTAGCATATGGCCTGGTTCGTTTACAAAAAATAAAAGCTTGTGTTGAGCCTGTGACCTGGTTTATTTATTAAAAATAAAAATCTTACCTTCTAATTTACAGTAGTATTTAGCCCATTAATCATGCACTGATATGTATTTTTCATTTTTTTAAGAAAATAATAGTTGTTTC